TTTATTACAGCCATAAATCAGAAAGAAACAAGCTCTGTGTATAAGAATGTTGAATTGAATGAATATGAAAATACAAAGATTGTTGAGTTTGTCACTTTGAACATAATTATCCTGTTACTCTTAGCTTAAGTGATAAAGGATTTCCAACTTCTATTTTAATGTTGAATGCTTTAATCTTTTATCCATGTCAAGAGCAAATGCCCTGTTACATTGACAGTAGCAAATACCCTGTTGTTGGAAAACTACCTCAATGAACCATTAATCTTTTAATTGCAAATAAACAATTCCAATCAAACTAAGAAAGATAAACACCCACACAAATTGAATCATTTAGCAAAACAAAGGAAAGAAATTTATTTATTATAGCCATAAATCAGAAAGAAACAAGCTCTTTTTCCTAATACTAACTGAAAACAATATCAAAAAGATATACTACTGTCAATGTAACAAAAGAAAGTCAGTTTGAATTGAGAACTGACTTCTCACTAGGCGGCAATGCATTTGTACACCCACTGCATATGCTATACGAAAATTCTTTAAATGGCTGATCTCATTCCTTGCCCACACAAGCACACCCACTGCATCTAACTGGCACTACATCATACTGACACATTATTTCATAAGCCCATGACTGTTTATGCATTTGTACAATTATATTGTTATTTTTCTAAATATGAGATTGTATATTTACCTTTGACAAGGAGTATATTTCTTTTATAAGTTCCCCCGTGTTTGTCTTAAGATTTTGTGAACTTCAACGTGATGTTGTTCATAACTTGGTAGTCCAAACCTAGACCCACTTAAATTCTAGCTAACTGTGTGAAACCTGGGAAAAATTTAAACTTTTTCTGAAAAAGGGTAAAATGGTAATTTGTTATTATAGTGTGGGTTGAAAACTGATATTTTATAGACTTCGGATGATGAAACGGACCTCACCGTTGGATTCGTCTCGCGAAATCTAGTTATTCTGTAAATTTTCATCGAATTTCGAGATAGTCAAGTTTTTTACGTTTTTCAAGACGATGGCGTTCGATGACCCCCAAAACGAAAGTTTTCTAAAAATTTTGAAAGTTGAAAAATATTTTAAATAAAATTCATATAAAATATTTTTAGCTTAAATTGATACTAAATTTAATCGTTTCGGAGCGAAAACGGACCCGGACAAAGGAGGACACTTGGCGCGACGAGGGCCAAGTCTTTAAAAAGTATAAGTATGGGAAAATATCTGAAAAATCAGATATTTTCCCTTCATTTGGCCGGCTGGATCAGACCCAAGAGTAAAGAGGAAAAAAAATAATAATTCTTCAAGCTTTCTTCCGCCGATTCTTGGAGTTTTGTCTGTCGAAATTTGTCAGGCTAAGAATTAAAGTCGATCTACGCGACGAGGACTACGCGTGGGTACCAAAAATAAATATTTTCACCGAAGATCCAAAGGAAGGATTTTGAGAAATCTAAGCTTTGGGCTTGAATGTTGTTCTTGAGGCTTCCTACGAATTTTTTACGCTTCAAGAGCTAAGGTTCCTCCTGCTCGGACCTATTTCTAACCTAAGGTGTCTATAGGGTTCATGTGGGCTATTTTGGGTATTTCTAACATTTTTCCATTATGGTTGATATTATGAAAATGGGTAGGATCAATTCTAGTGTGAATTGGTAGTTAGAAAGTGCTAGTTTGTGATTTCTAGAATGTTTCAATAATTGGTTATGTAAAAGTCATATATTCTGATTTTTATTTTGTTTGAAATAGTCCATATAAAATCTTGGCTTGATTTTGGTATATGGAAGTATTTATGTAATTCCTTGGAAATTGGGATCCTGTGGGCATGCTTTGTGTTTTTATATTATGCCTTGTGAATGAAATGTGATATTAGCATGTATTATGTGTTATCATGTTGATGAAGTGTTGATATATGCTTTTGAATATATTGAACTTGAAATGGTTATGGTGATTATATGCAAATGATATAAATTATCATGGTATACATTGATATATAAAAATTGTTTATTTGACATGCATTGCAATATGAACATGAAATTGACATCACATTCATGGGCTACATGCATGAGTGTGGGTGTAGAGTTGCATGGGGTGATCAACACCAACATTGGTGCTTGATGGTGGGTTAGGGAAAGTGGGATGGAACATCCTACGGAGTCGCACGGTTACATGCATAAGAAAACTTGTGTCGGGTATAGAAAGTAGGGCTAGATACTCCCTCGGGTGAAAAGCCCGGCCACTTGGTTCATAAACTTACTGGCGGTGAAATTCCAAAAAAGTGTAACGGCGTACGGAGCCGGAGGTGCGATTCCTGAATCCGATACCCCATAAAGGCACATGATTTTGATATATAAATTATTCATTTGATGGAAAACATCTAAGAATGAATTGATTTTATGACATATGATTGATTTCAAAATGATCTTTGGATGTGTTTCATCAAAGACGTTTGTTTTACACATATGAGTCGCATTGTGTTGTGGGAGTCGGTGTGGGCTCGGGATAGCATGCATGAGTGAGTTTCATCTCATTACTTGGCATGACATCATGAGATTCTATCTTAAATAACATATTCTTATTTGGAAGAAGTTGTTTGTGGTGGAGAGTAGCCTCTGTAGGAGTTTTTTACTGAGCGTTGACTCACCCTATATGAGAAACATTTCAGGTGGGAGAGGTATACCGGTGGATGGCTCCAATTTGGACCCTCATGTTTGAAGAAAGCCGAATGTGGCTTTATTTTGTGTTGATGTAAAATATTTGTGGAAAGAATATTTTAAGCATGTAATCTTTTAAATTATAATAGAACTTATATGGACTATTGTTAAACTAACCTTGCATGTTTTGATATAAATATGGATGATTGGACCCGGTGTGGCCAATGTTTAATTATAATTGGACCCAGTGTGGTCATTGTGTTATATGGGGCCTCGGACGGGTCATGTTAATGTATATTGCACAGGTTGTGTTTTTGGGTAGAGCTCCCCGTATAAAGGAGACTCTGCCCGAATTTTGTTAAATTAAGGACCTCCATAAATGGGACCTCCATAAATGGGACATAACGGTGTGATATCGAGTTACTCGGTATCCACGGGTTGATGAGAAATCAACGGACCATCGAATTTTGGGGCGTCACAAACTGCCACTAGCCTATATTGTCTTTTGGTGCAGGCTGGAGTAATGGACCTCCAAATTAGTACACATGTGCAAATATTAGTTTTTATATCAAAGTTTTTAGTGCTAATGTTTTATTTGGTCTTATATCAGTCAAGTTATGTTGCTTCTGCAGATTATGGAATATACAAAGAAGAAGGTCTTCACTTTTGTTATAGTTGTCCACACGAACTGTCGTGAACCAGGTAAATGCCCTCAAGCTTCCTTTTCCTGGCCTTTAATTTTCAACTAGAAATACATATTTTATTGAAAGAAAATGCTCCGTATATTTATTCCTTTAAATTATGTCACTCAATTTGCCCAATTTTGATAGAATGCCTAAAAATTCTATCAAGTGGAACCTTAGAAATGCCATTAGCTAGAATTACAGATTGCTTAAGCTATGTTATTTCTGATAGACTAAAGAAGAAGGGTCTATGTTATTTTTGAGTGAATTCTATGGTTGTTGATTTAATTTTCTTTGATATATTGATGCAACTACTGTTTCATACGTGATATTAGGGTAATTTCGATTCTTGACTCGGGATTTTGTTCAACCAATTCTCTCTCTCGCTGCTACTTTATTTCGGTGAATAATATTCCCGATTTGTTTAATATTCTAATAATCCAGGCTTGTTTAATATTCATGATTTTTGCTATTGTTTCATATACTATTACTAAAGATTTGTTTATGTTGTTGATTTGATTATTATGAAATTTATCTACTATCACTAAAATCCATTTTTAACATATCAATGCCCAATGTCAATGCTTTATTTGTATGTGGACATAATAAATTAGGAGTATATTTGCACATTTGTATCTGTTTTTTACTCCTTGGCACTGCTACAACATTATATAGTTCATAAATAATTTAAACATTATTAAGTTCATAAATAATTTAAACTTTATTAAGTTCATAAATAATTTAAACATTATTAAGCTCATAAATAATTCAAACTTTCTTTACTTCATAAATAATGAATAAATTATTAAGTTCATAAATAATTTAAACATTATTAAGTTTATAATTAATTTAAACATTACAACATTATTTAGTTTCTCAATAATTTAAATCAAAATCTCTGTAATAAACCAAACTAAACCAAAAACTATAACAAACCCCAAATGGGTTGTATCTATTTCAAATAATTTAAACTTTATTAAGTTCATAAATAATTTAAAATTTATTAAGTTCATAAATAATTTAAACATTAATTAGTTCATAAATAATTTAAACATTATTAAGTTCATAAATAATTTAAACTTTATTTAGTTCATAAATAATTAATAAATTATTAAGTTCATAAATTATTTAAACATTATTTAGTTCATAAATAATTTAAACATTGTTAAGTTCATAATTAATTTAAACGTTACAACATTATTGAGTTTATCAATAATTTAAATCAAAATCTCTGTAATAAACCAAACTAAAACCAAAAACTATAACAAACCCCAAATGGGTTGTATCTATTTCAAAACCAAATAATGCAACAAAAAAAAAAGGTAACTTGCATATTTTTTTGCCAAAGAAAGTAAAAATTGTTCTTCCTTGCGATATTTTTAATGCAATTGTAACTATGTATATAGATTGAAATTCTTATGATCTCATGTTTATTGTTTTTTAAAGGAAAGAAAAAAGTAGAACGCAATGGTGAATGCTAGCTATCCACGAAAAGGAAAAGTAATCTCTTATGCCAAAGAAAGTGAAAATACCGAATGCCAAATGGTATTATTGGTCAAATAATCGCAATACTAAGTAATTGTTAAGAAAATTTTACTCATTCATACCAATATTTTTTGTTATTTAACTTTTTAGGCAATCAATGATAATGTTTTAACAAAACGTCAAATGGCACAACGTGCACGTCGGGAGCGTGAGAGATCGAAACGTCTTCCAAGTCAGTCTACTCCTGTGCTTGCACAAATTTCGGTGCCTGCACAAATTCCTGAGTTTCTTGCAGAACAATCTATTCAAACAAATGTCTTTGGGTCATCATCTCTGCCGACAATGCTTCGAGAAAATCTTCCACATAATCTTTATGAAGGCAATTTTGTTGAAGGCACTTCGGTGCAATCGACACCATCGTCTATTGGTGCCATGAACAACATTACTATTTTTGGCCATGTAAGATCTTTATCTAATATATTTCTTTTACAACCTTTCATAATATATAATCTTTCACTAATTACAATTTTTTTAACCACCTTTTTACAGATGGATAATGACCTAGATCGTGCAGTAAGTTGATTTTCTTATGACTCATTTGTTACTTCTTATTTCATATCACTCAATTTAGCTTTACATTTTTTTGAATTTTTAGGTCCAGTTACTTCGAAAAAAACAACGTAAGCGTTGTGATTCGTGATGAACGTGAGCTTAACCGCCTTCACATATCTGAAATGGTAACAACAAATTCAAATATAATGATATATGCATTATTCTTTTTAACTATAATGGTTTTTAACTTACACATATTGTATTGTTGAAAGGAAAAAAGAAATGCAACTACCATGGCGATCGCTAACTCTAAAGGAAAAGAAAAAGTAGGCTCTTCTGGCAAAGGAAAAGAAAATACAAAACCTCAAGTGGTATGAATGTTGAATTCAACAATTAAGAAATTTATATCTAATTGCTTATGTTCACAACGATGAATCTTTTAATTATGTTTTAGATATCCAACGATAATTATTATATATCAAAACACCGATTGGCACAACGTGCACGTCGAGAACGGGAGATATTGGAACGTCCATGCATTCAACCTAGGATTTTCCCTAGGTTGACACCGAGCCGCCGTCATCTATCTCAACTAGAAAGATCGACATTCAAAAGATCTTTTGTTCAATCCACATCCATGCCTACAGATGTTCCTAAGGTTGTACCAGAGCAAATTGTGGAAATAAATTTCACAATGTCATCGTCTGTGGTCACTATGCTTCAAGAAATGCCTACACAAAATTTAGGCGAAGGAAATCTCGGCGAAGACACCACGGCGCAAATGGAACCACCTACCATTTGTTCCATGGAAATCCATATGCAAATAGTAGAACAAACTGTAATAAATGAAATGGGGTCATCGTTTGTTATGACCATGTTCCAAGAAATGTTGAATTTAGATGAATGTAGCACGATGCAAGCTCCCTCCAGGTGGTTATAAGTTACAAATTTCTTAATGTTATTATTTATGAGCTTCATTGAGCTTGATTGCAGGCATCACTATAACCACAAGTTTTTTAGCTTATATATTTTAATTTAATTTATGTAGTGTTGAGTTTGATCCTCGAACACATGGAGTAGAAGGTCACCATTCACTTAGAATTATGAATGTACCATGTCCTCATTGTTCAGCTTTACATTGGAAGGCTGAACAATTATCAAATTCCCGTACAGGACACCCTCTGTTTGGAACATGTTGTTTGCAAGAAAAAATTAGGATACCACCACTTAATACACCTCCTTCAGTACTTCAGGCATTGTATGATGGCAATGATGAACCATCAAAATCGTTTTTTCAGCATACCCGCAAGTATAATGCAGGAAATGCTTTTACAAGTCTTGGTGCTACCTTGGATTCAAGATTGGTCACTGGAAGGGGTCCTACATCATTCACTATCCTGTTGATCGTCTAGATTTAGTTGCCCGTGTTTTTGAGTTAAGAGAGAAGGTTTTTGATGAAGATGATAGAGATGAAAAACATATTTGGTAAAAATGTAGCACATGTTTTCACAATCGAATTTAAAAAATGAGGGCTACCACACATGCATGCACTTCTGTTCCATCATGGTCCAGACAAAATTCAAACATGTTCTCAGGTAGACAAGGTAGTGTGTGCTGAATTTCCTGATCTAGACAAAGATTCTCTTCTTTTTGATACGATCAAGAGTTGTATGGTACATGGACCATGTGGTGTTTGAAATTCACATGCATCATGTATGGAAAATGGTGTATGTACTAAGAGGTACCCTCGGACATTTGTAGAATCAACAAGCATGGGCGATGATGGATATCTTGTTTATCGTCGTCATGATAATGGTCACATTTATACTGTTAGGGGCCAAGAAGTTGATAATAGGATGTCGTGCCATACAATCCTTATCTTTCAAGAATGTTCAACTGTCAATGTGGAAGTTTGTGCGAGAATAAGATGTGTGAAATACATCCATAAGTACATTTATAAAGGTCATAATCGCAACACTATGGTGTTGAGAGGAGGAAATGAAATTCAAAAATATCTTGATGCAAGGTATATTGGATCTCCAGAGGTTGCTTAACGAATATTTGGTAATCCTTTACATGAAGAGATTCCATCAGTTATACGTTTGAAACTTCATTTACCAGAGATGCATCATGTTGTTTTTAATTCGGACGAACTACTTCAATCAATCATTTCAAGAGGTGCACAACGTGATACAACTTTGACTGGTTTCTTTAAATATTGTGCTTCAAATGAATTTGCATGTGCATTAACCTATCAAGAATTTTCAAAAAAAATTGTTTGGAACAAGAAAACCACAATATGGACCCCTAGACAAAGGGGGTATGCAATTGACAGGATGTACTTTGTAAGCCCAAATTCAGGTGAGCGTTTTTATCTGCGTTTGCTACTAACAGTTGTCAAAGGACCAACATCATTTGATAACCTGTGCACGGTAAACAACGTTATGTGCGATTCTTCATATCTGCATGTGTTGTAAGAGGTCTTCTAGAAGATAATGTCGAATGGATACAATGTCTACAAGAGGCTTCAATTATGAAAATGAGACACCAGTTGAGGAGATTGTTCGGTATTATTCTAACTGAATGCTCTCCACTATATCCACTTGCATTATGGAACCAGTTTTCAGTGCATATGTGTGATGATCTTCAACCCAAGATTCGTACAATGTTTGGTATTTCAAATCCAACTCAGGATCAAATCAAAGATTTTGGCTTATATTTACTGAATCAATTGCTCCACGAGTCAAGCAAAAGCTTAATTGACTTCCCATCAATGCCGCAACCGATTGGAAAATGGAATGCAATAGTTGTTAATAGACTATTGTTTAAGCATAAAAAACTCCAGAATGAAGCGCAACAGTCAGATGCACAAAGTAATGTTGATCGTCTTAATGATGCACAACACGTTGCTTATGCTGAAATCACCTCATCAGTGTTTCAAGATATAGGAACTACTTTCTTCTTGAGTGGGGGTGTCGGGACAGGGAAGACAATTTTTGTACAATACAATTGCAACGAAATTGCGTAGCCTTGGACATATTGTTGTTACTGTTGCTTCTTCTGGCATTGCGTCTTTATTATTGATGGGAGGCCGCACGACACATTCTATATTTTGTATTCCTTTAAATGTGCTTGAGAATTCGATTTGTGGCTTTACCAAACAATTGATGCATGCATAATTGTCTAGAAAAACAAAACAAATAATATGGCATGAAGTACCTATGCAGCATAGACATTGTGTTGAGGCAGTGGATCGCACACTTCAAGATATTCGTGATAATAAAAAGCCATATAGGGGTATTACTGTTGTGCTTGGTGGAGACTTTCGACAAATCTTACCAATAATACCAAGAGGAGTCTGCAAGCAATTTGTGGGTGCATCGTTGAGGCGATCATTTTTGTGGAGGGATATACATGTTTTGACTCTGGGTCAAAACATGCGCTAAACTCACACAGATTTTAGATGTTGCATTTGCAAACTTTTTAATGGAGGTAATAATTTATTCATCAATAATTTTATGAAATATTGCTTTTCATTAGTATTTATTCCTCTTCGCTCATTTAACTTCCCAATTTTAATTTTAGGTTGGGACCAATCCAGAAGAAATCATAGAACTTCCATCAACAATACACAAATGTCATAATCTAGAAGAATTGATATTCAGAATTTACCCGCGTTTAGAAGTGGCTGGTACAATGACCCCAGATTATCTAACTGAACGTACAATTCTTTCTGCACATAATGATGATGTTAGTTCTATAAATGCGGCAGCATTGAATATATCCCTTGGTGAGACTATTACATATTTAGCTGCAGACAAAATTTCAGAAGATGCGGAACGTGATCATACTATCATGAACCATTTTTTGAATGAGTATCTAAAATCTCTAAATCCTTCAGGACTACTGCAATTTAAGTTGGAGTTAAAAGTGGGTTGCCCAATAATGTTGTTGCGGAATTTGGCGCCGAAAGATGGGCTTTGTAATGGCATGCGATTAAAGGTTGTTAGATGTGCCTCGCGTGTAATTAAAACTCAGATTCTGAATGGACCATTATCAAGCAATTTAGTCTTCATTCCAAGAATATCACTTACACCATCATCTTCGGAATTACCTTTTCAAATGACAAGCCGTCAATTTCTTGTGCGCTTAACATATGCTATGACAATCAATAAATCTCAAGGGCAATCTGTTAAATTCGTTGGGAGTGCATAGCAGTGTTTAGCCATGGACTTTTGTATATGGCACTATCCATATGTACATCTTCTGATCGTATAAGTGTTCTTCTTCCTGAAGATACGTCGAATTGCACATCAAACATCGTTTTCCCTGAAGTTTTGTTATAAGACTTCCTATTCAATTATTTATATAAGGTACCATTTAGTTACAAATTTTTTTCATATTGAATACACATAATTAAAATAACCATGTTAACTCTACATTATCATCATTCAATATCTGTAGGATTGATATGAATTGGCTAAAGAGATGAAAATAATAAATACAATGCGACTTCACCGATGGGGTTATCGTAATTAGGTAACTCGATCTTTACACTGTTGCAATGTACTATATTTTTTTGTAAATTCTATATATTTTACTAAGATTTGTTTTTTCTTTTTTTCCTGTAAAACTAGGTTGTTGTCCATTCTCCCAACTTGAGGTTTCACCTATGTATTGACCTAAGAACGTTCAGAAAAGTGATGAAGAAAATTTTCAATGAAGAGAAAGTTCAATGATCTACTGGAAGATTGAATCATTAATTACATTGTTTAATATTACATTCAATCAAAAGCTGCAAGGCTAAATCATTCAATTAATGTTTATGAATAAGTCACACTATTTTAATATTCTTTGAATTTAATTCATATGCATGGACTTATATTTGTTGTCTATCTTCTTGGTTTAATTGTTGCATGTTTATGATTATCAAGAATAATATTGCAACAATGAATAATAAGGTTATCATTTTAATTATTCCATTTCTCTTATTGTTGTTGGTGTATTGTTGTTCTTATTCTTATAATATTAGATCACATGTGATAGTAAAAAATTATTTTATTGTTGTAATATTGGTTAACTGTTATTAATTTTATTATTATCAATTTAATTTGTAATTTTTATATTATGTACAGATAATATGGATCGTCCTCCCATCTATGTACGTCGTAGTATCTGTTTGGCAGTAGCAAGCATAATAGATAAATTTAAAAATGATTCTTTTGAAGATGGAACTCCAATCTCAGAGTTTGGGCTTGAAAAAATTAGATTAGGTCGTGTGTTGCAAAATGTAGGAAAAAATATAAGTGAAAATTATATTATGCAGAAAATGGTAGAGACCCTTCCCACCACTTGGGATTTTGCAAAGGAAAAAATTTTTAATCACGACCAACCAACCTGTGTGATACGATTTATACAATTATTGACGGAAGTGGAGCGCAAGATTCATCCACTTTGGATACAGTTTGAGACAGAAAAAATGGATCCACAATCAAATGTCATAGACCATATAAAAAAGAAAGAATCATTATTTAGAGAACTGAGACAAAAAGGTTTCAGTCCGAATAATCCAAGAATGTGGTGCGCTGTTGTTAACACGCTTCCATCTTTGTGGCTGATTGACTTCATTCATACGAAGTTTGAGAATAGCTTCTTAGATATGATAGAATTGGAGGATAAAAATCAAAAATGACTTAATCTGTTTACGAGCATTAGAAGACTGAGAGGCTCAACAAGGGAACAATGAATATCAAAAATTATGAAGCAATACTTTTCAAGTAACTATGTTTTCTCAATCTTTTTATTATTTGAATGTGGACGAATTGAA